CACACACACACACACACACACACACACACACACACACACACACACACTGGTATATTACTCAGCCGTAAAAAAGAATGAAGTCTAGCCATTTGCAATGATATGGTTGGAGGTAGAGAGTATTATGCTAAGTAAAATAAGTCAGAGAAAGACAAATACCATATCTCTTTGAGAGAGAGAGAGAGAGAGAGTGTGGGTGGGGGGTGAAGAGCAGAGGGAAAGGGACAAGTAGACTCCATGCTGAGCCCAACACAGGGCTCAATTCTCAGGATCCTGAGATCATGACTCGAGCCCAAACCAAGAGTTGGATGCTCAACTGACTGAGCCACCCACGCCCCCCCACTCATATGTGAAATTTAAGAAAAAACAAATAAGCAAAGGGGAAAAGAGAGACAAACCAAGAAACAGACTCTTAACTATAGAGAACAAACTGAGGGTTACTGGAGGGGAGGTGGACGGGGGGATGGGTTAAATAGGTGATGGGGATTAAGGAGTGCAATTGTTGTGATGATCACTGGGTATTGTATACAACTGTTGAATCACTATTGTACACCTGAAGCTAATATTACACTGTATCTTAACTGGAATTTAAATTAAAACTTAAAAAAAAAATAAAAATGGAATTATCATAATGATCCAGTAATTCCACTACTGGGTATTTATTCAAAGAAAATGAAAACATTAATTTGGAAAGATATATGCACCCATGTTTACTGCAGCATTATTTGCCATAGCCAGCTTCTCAGATGTTATGTGTTGTCAGTCTTTTTAGTGTGTATGTTGAGGTATCTCATTTTGGTTTTATTTGTACTTCACTGATGACTTACGATGTTGAGAAGTTTTTCCTGTGCTTTTTTGTTAAAATTTTACTTTTTTAAAGAGCAGTTTTAGGTTCACAGTGAAATTGAGGAAAGGTGGAGCGATTTCCCATATACCCACAACCCGCATGCATGTGTAGCTTCCCTCACACCACTCCCTCACCAGGGTGTAATGTTTGTTAAAATTGATGAATTTTACACCTACACATCATTACATTAGGGTTCACTTTTGCTGTTATACATTCTATGGATTGTATATAATGACATGTATCCACTGGTATAGTGTCTATATAGAATAATTTCACTTCCCTAAAAATTCTTTGGGCTCCATCTATTCATTCCTGTTCCCTCCACCCCCAAGCCCTAGGAACCACTGATCTTTTTATCCTGTGTCTATAGTATTGCTTTTTCTTGAATGTCATATAGTTGGAATCATATAGTATGTAGCCTTTCCAGATTGGCTTCTTTCATTCAGCGTTATGCATTTAAGGTTTTTCCATGCCTTTTCATGGCTTGATACCTCATTTCTTTTTAGCACTGAATAATATTCTGTTGTCTGGGTGTACTACAGTATATTTATCCATTCATCTACTGAAAGATATCTTGGTTGCTTATAAGTTTTGTAAATTATGAGTAAAGCTGCTATAAGCATCTCTGTGAAAGTTTTTGTATGGACATACGTTTTTCAACTCCTTTGTGTAAATACCAAGGACTGTAATTTCTGGACTGTATGGTAAGAGTATGTTGAGTTTTGTAGAAAACTGCCAAATTCTCTTCCATTCCAAAGTGGTTACATATTTAACATTCCCACTAGCAATGAATGAGAGTTTCTCTTGCCCTATATACTTTTCATATTTGGTATCATTAGTGCTATGGATTTTGGTTCTGATAGATGTGTAGTGGTATCTCATTGTTATTTTAATTTACATTTACTGAATGATATATGATATGGAACTTTTTTTCATATGCTTTTTTTTAAATTTTTATTTTATTTTATTATGTTATGTTAGTCCCCGTACAGTACATCATTAGTTTTTGATGTAGTGTTCCATGATTCTTTGTTTTCGTGTAACACCCAGTGCTCCATGCAGTATGGTGCCCTCCTTAATACCCATCACCGGGCTAACCCATTCCCCACCCCCCTCCCCTCTGAAACCCTCAGTTTGTTTCTCAGAGTCCATCGTCTCTCATGGTTCATCTCCCTTCATATGCTTGTCATCTGTATGCCTTCTATGGTGAGCTGTATGTTAAGGACTTTGGTCCATTTTAAAATCAGTTTTCTGTGCTTTTTGGCAATATATACATCTTCCCCTCTCCAGATTTAATATATATAATTGACATAAAACATTGTGTAAATTTAAGGTATACAGTGTGATGATTTGACATATGTTTATATTGTAAATGATTACCACAATAAACTTAGATAACACATACATCACCTCACATACTTAGTTTTTTTGTGTGTTGTGAGAACTTTTAGATTTATTCTGTCAGCAACTTTCAAATATATAATACAATATTATGAACTATAGTCACCATCCCCAGAATTTACTCATTTTATAACTGGAAGTTTGTACTTTTTGACCATTTTCACCTATTTCCCTCACTCCCATCCCTTGTGTAAGCACTCACCAATCTAAATTCTACTTTTTCAGATTCCACATATAAGTGAGATCATACAGTATTTGTATTTCTGTCTCTTAGATATTTTACTTACCCTAATGCCCTCAAATGTTATCCATATTGTTGATATCATTATTGTATTTCCTTTTTATGGCTGAATCATATTCCATTGCATATACATAGCATATTTTCTTTTTTTGAAGATAGAGTGTTTTTACATATCATATTTTCTTTATCCATTCATCTGTTGATGGACACTTAGATTGTTTCCATGGCTTTTGTGAATATTGTTGCGATGAACATGGCAGTACAGATGTGTTTCTGAGATAGTCATTTCATTTCCTTTGGATAAATACCCAGAAGTGGAATTGTAGTGTCGTATGGTAGATCTATTTTTAATTATTTGAGAAATTTCATACTGCATTCCATAGTGGCTGAACCAGTTTGCTTCCTTTCACGGACGGGGTCGTAGGATAGGCTCCATGGCCAGTAGGGCTCATTAGCTTTGGATCCGAATCAAATAGAACTGTCCACTGGGCTCTCCGGCCAGATGGTGCCACCCACACAGGTCAGCCTGGTTCTGGGGTTTTCATAATGGTGTCTCGTCAATGGATAGTTACTAGCTGGTCTTCTTGAAGGAAGAATGATGTTGAGAATGACTTAGGTCACCATCTTGATGTCTCATTTTTTTTAAAGATTTTATTTATTTATTTGAGACAGAGAGAGAGCACATGAGAGGGGGGAGGGTCAGAGGGAGAAGCAGACTCCCTGCTGAGCGGGGAGCCCGATGCGGGACTCGATCCAGGGACTCCAGGATCATGACCTGAGCCGAAGGCAGTCGCTTAACCAACTGAGCCACCCAGGCGCCCATTGATGTCTCATTTTTTTTTAAATGTCTTTCTAAAGTCTTCCCAATTTTTAAAAATTTGGGTTGTCATATTTTTATTATTGGCTTGTGGCAATGCTTTATATATTCTGGATATGTCTTTTATTAGGTAAATGTGTTAGAAATGTTTTATTCCCTTCTGCGGCTTTCCTTCTTATTTTCACGATGGTATTTTTTGATTAGCAGAAATGTAAATGTTGATGAAGCCCTTTTTCTATGGCTTGTGACTTTTTCATTCACTTTAGGAAATTTCTGTGTGTCCAAGGCCACAAAGATATTCTCCTATCTATTTTCTTGTATTTTATGGTTTAGCTTTTATGCTTAGGTCTAGGAGACCTTCTTCCTCCACCCTTTGAGATCCTAATCTAATGTCCTTTTGTGGAATTTCTAAACCTTCTATGTTTTTTGCCTTGAAAATGGTAAGCATAGTTATTTTAAATTTTGGTCCAGATAACTCCACCCCAGATGTAAGGAGTGCCAGATACTACATGCAGAAAAATTGTTTGGAGGAATAGCTAACTCTCCAGGATATTATTTCTTTTCAGAGAGGATTTATTTTCTTATATTAGGCACCTGTAGGCATTTGTAATATGGGATACCTTCATCTGGTATCAAAGACTGAAATGTGAAATTGGCCTGCAGTTCCTGGGAAGGCCAGTCTCCTTCACTATCATCATTATTTATAAGGTAAGGTCCTAAAATAATGTTTCCCCTTCCAGGCCCTTAATTTTAGCTCTCTCCCTGGTAGCTGCAAGAATTTAAGTCAAGTTTTCAAGATCACACGTATAGTGGTAGAGCTGGGAATCAGCCTAGATGGTTCAACTTCAGCTCCTGGGTTATTAATAGCCTGCTGTGACACCCACACCATGAAGGAAGGGTTTTATTTGTTGTTTCCCATTATACACCTATACTTAACATATCACTTATCTATCTTATCTTAACATATCTATTAAATATTCAGCAAATATTCGTGAAATATAAGAATGAATCTGTTCCCATTAGCAATGTTATTAAATGGAGGTACTTTCAATCTTGCTAATTGTTGAGTGGCATTTTGGGGTTATAGCTGTGATGTGATTTTACATACCATTTTGTCTTTTTGCTGATGGTGATGATTTTTTTGTATTATTTCTTAATTAGTATTTTGGTAAAGGTACTGGTCAAATTTACCTGGAAACTTGCATCAGTAACTTACTGATCTTTGTTTTGTGCTTGAAGTTTTATAAATATTAGAAATTCAGAAGATACTGAGTAAGGATGTGGGATAAAAAGCTTCTCAAATATTTCAAATGCTTATTGTTTCTTTTTGTCATCCTCTAAGCTTGATTAGAAAATGAAGCAATTCAAATTTAAGTAATTTATTTGTCTAAAATTTACATTTTGTTATATAATCTTAATTTCTTTTTGTAAAATCTTTACTCCCTCCATAGAGTTGAAAAATGGATTTCTTATGGTTTTACAAATTTATGGGTCTTCTGTGGAAGAATTTTATTTTAAAGGTAAGTTGGACTATCTATAGGATTTTTGCAACAGCTAAGAGACCACAATGGGAAAATTCTTACAGCCTGATCACTGCATTTCAGTTTATATTGTATTTTTCTCAGTTCTAGGGCTGGGGGTGTCTCTTCCAAATATGAAGAGTCCTCACAGAGTGAAATAGTAGCAGAATGACATGTAGAAAGGAGAGAAAAAAATGGTTCAGGAAACTAATGCTATATTATAGAGTGAAGCTGTTCATTTTTTGCCATCTATGTATCTTCTTTTAAGAAGTGTCTGTTGATATAAAACATTTAGGCATTTGCAGAGGTAATGGACTCATACGACACTTACCATAATCTTTTTTTTTTTCTATCTCCTAGAGACGGCGGTTAGTGGTGTTATTTGTGGAATTCATCCTAACAGTGCTATTTGCTAGTACACTTTTGTTAACACACAGGTTTTTGATTATAAAGAAGTCTGGGCCTTTCAATTACTCTCTTCAGCCTGTTGATGAGTTGCCTGCATTCCTTGGAATGGCCGTCACTTCTGGTCATTGGGAACTGGCTTTCCTGCCTTCCAAAAGTGTTGTGGTAAAGGGCATCACTGAACTCGTGAAAAGGGATTTGCATTATAATTTCTCAGGTTAGAAATTAAAGGTTTTTGAAAAAAAAATGTATTATTAAATTGGGTTTCAGTGAAGACACTTGTATAACCTTTTAACTGGGCATTAATCTCCTAAGTAAGACATTGTAGGGGGGATTGCGAAAGATCAACATGCCTTTGGCTAGAGATTTACTACACCCGTCCTTGGAAGAGGAAAAGAAAAAACATAAAAAGAAATGGCTAGTTCAGAGCCCAAATTCCTATTTTATGGATGTAAAATGTCCAGGTTGCTACAAGATTACCACGGTTTTCAGCCATGCTCAGACGGTGGTTCTTTGTGTAGGCTGTTCAACAGTGTTGTGCCAGCCAACAGGAGGAAAGGCCAGACTCACAGAGGGGTGTTCGTTTAGAAGAAAGCAACACTAATGATCCACACAGCCTCTCGAATTTGTGTTATATCGCAGAAAGCCTTATCAGTTCAGTAATTCCAGTTATCTACCAAGATAATGTAATTATGTTTAATTTTGTAAGGTTTACAACAGTGATGTCCTATTTTGGTGTCAGTTTTTCAATAAAGTTTTGATTATGGGCAAAAAAAAAAAAAAAGACATTGTAGGATATATCCTCATAACCAGATAGTAACCTCCTAGGTATAATATTACACACTTTGTTATACTTGAGAGTTAAATTCATATAAAATATTTTCTCCTAGAGCCCAAAACAAATACTAATATTTAAAAATTAGATAATCAGTTTATATTATTTTAAGTTACTCTCCAATTCTGTGATATCGTCTTCCTTGTTTCTGGTTGTGCTTCTTAAAAGCTGGGTAAGTGTGACCCCAGGGCTACGATGGTGTGCCAGAGGAACACAGAGGCACAGCATAAGCATGAGCCCTCATTCTAGATGCGTGCTCAGTGGTCAGTTATTTCAAATTTTGTTCATGTAAAAATGTTACACAAGACATAAATGAATGCGTTAGAGAAGACTCAAGCTCCATACAGTTATCTTAAAAGCCCCCCAGTGAGCTTCCCCTCACATTCCCAGGGAGAAATGCTATCAGAAGTTTGGTGAGCATCCCTCTAGTGCCCCTTGCTTTAAACACATACGTGTACTCAGTAATATTATTTTTTCAACTTTTTGTTGTCTCTCAAGAATTTGAGGGTCCTTGAGAGTAGATGCCATCTCAAAACATAACTTATTAAAAAAACAGTGAAGCAGAAGATTGCAAAATTCCCAAAAATTTTTAAAGTATATAACCACAAATATCCCAATAAATGTAGTCCTGGAGGCCACTTTGGGTTACCTAAAATATTTCATAATTTCCATTCTGATATCTTATTTGATGTGTGGGATTCTTAGAAATATATTACTTTACTTCAACACATTTGGAATTTGTTGTTCTCTTTCTATTTTTTTTTTCATTTCTATTTTAATTTCCTTGAATCAGAGTATACTCTAGGATTTCAGTTCTTTGAAATTCTGAGAAATTTTTATGCCCATGTTAAGGTATATTTTGAAAAATGTATTATGTACATTTGTAAAGACTGTGTATTCTGTAGGTTTTGGTTATAGTGTTGTATAAATGCCACCCAGGTGAAGTTGTCGAGTTGGTGAGTCATAGTGCTTTTCAAATATGTATTTAAGAATACTATTTTTATTTGCTTATTCTCTCAGTTATTGAGAGAGATACTACATTTTCAGTTAGGTGTTGTTAGTATTAAATAAGTTGTGTGTGTGTGTGTGTGTGTGTGTGTGTGTATGTATGTTAAAATTTCTTTTTGCTTATATATTTTGAAACAGGTCATGTGATCTTTCTGTTGAATTGTTTTTAAAAGTATTTCTCTGTTCTGGAATTTCCATTTGTCCTGTTTTTAATAGATTTCAAGTCTCTAGAGAAATGTTCTAACTTTATTAACCCTATTAATCATAGTTACTTTAAAGTTGCTGCCAGAAAGTTCTGATATCTAGATACTTGTGTATATTTTTTTCTCTTCAGTCATTGAGTTCTGTTTTATAGCATATTTTGTATATTTTTATTGAATGGCAGATGTTGTGGATGAAAAATATTAGAGGCTCTTGAGGATACTTTTTTATCCAAAGAGGGTTAAGTTTTCTTCTGGATGGTTGTTTAAATACTGACAGAGTGACTTGATCCCATCAAAATCTGGTTTTGGGCTATGTAAGGAGTGCTCTATTTCAGTTTTGTCTTTACTCCTGCAGCTATCCCTTGTCCTAGGGTATGGCTCTTCTAGGGTGTGATCTGGAAGCTGGAATATTTATGAAGGCTCCTCTACCTTTGTGGGGCTTGAACTCTATTTCTGATTAATCAACATTGCCTACCTGCTGAAATCCCTGCTCAGCAGTGTAGCCTGCCACCTGCTGTTACCTTCTTGGTTTCATGGTCTGAACTTAGGCATCCTCAGTTAAGGGGTTGACTGGTGACTTCAGGGGAATTTACAAGCCAATTTTTTACTTCTCTGCTCTTTTCTTCTCTTTGCAAGTTTGTCTCTCAAGTTCCAACCATTTTGGCAGCCTCAACTCTCACCTCTTTTCTTCAGCTCAGTAAGTCTGCAGCTTTCTGCAAATGCTTTCAGGGAAAATACCAGGGTGAATATGGCCCTCACCCTGTGCATCTCCCTTTTTCAAGGTATGTAAGTTCATAATTATTCATTGCAGCATTATTTACAAGGTATAGAAGCAAACAACATGTCTATCAACAGATGGCTGCATAGAGAAAATGTAATTATTCAGCCACAAAAAGGAAGGAAATCCTGTCATTTGTAACAGTATGTTGGTTTGGAGGTCATTATGCTAAGTGAAATAAGCTGGACACAGAAAGACAAATATGGTATTATCTTACTTATATGTGTGTTATCTAAAAATGTTGAGCTCACAGAAGCAGAGAGTAGAATCATGGTTTCAGAAAAAAATAATCATGGTTGCATGGTTTCTGGACGTGAGGGTAGATAGAGAAAATGGGGAGATGTCGGTCAAGTCTTATGAACTTTCAGTTATAAAGATAAATAAGTCCTGGCAATCTAATGTACATGGTGACTATAGTTAACAATACTGTATAGTGTATATGAAATTTATTCAGAGAGTAGATCTTGTAGTGTTCTCCTCACAAAAAAGGATGGTAACTATGTAAGGCAATAGGTGTGTTAATTAACCTGGTTTTGGTAATTATTTCACAATGTATGCAGATATTAAAACATCACTTTGTATACCTTAAAATCACGTTATACAACCTATATATATACAATTTTAATTTATCAGCAATACCCCAATAGCCCTGGGCAGAAAATTTTAAAAATAAAATAAGGGGTAACTGTGTGGTCATGGATATATTAATTAGCATGATTGTGGCAGTCATTTCACAGTGTAGACATACATTATCATCTTTTGCACTGTAAGTACACACAATTTTTAGTAAAGCTGGGGGAAAAATAAAGCCACCCGACGTAATAAATGAAAATAAATAAGAAATAAATTTCCCTCCAGTTCTATTTTCTGAGAAATCGAGGCAAAGACATGTCTTAACCTCAAGTACTCAAAGCTCTCTCTCCCTCCCGTTCTTTCTCCTACTCCTGCTTGAGCAGGTAATACCTTCCTTGAAGCTCAGTTAAATTAATGAAAACGGACTGGTGGACCTGTCCTCAGGCCCTTGCACCATAGCCAGGCAGTTAGAAAGAATTGTGGCTACTCAGTGGTGAAGGCAAAGGGATGGGGAGGTTCCCGGGACTAAAGGATGCCTGGGTGAGATGCATGACAGTGGTTAGGCTCAGATGCAGAAGTAGAGGCTACGTGCCCCAAAGTGTGCCTCACTACCCGCTTGTACACACTTCACTTTGTTCACAGTGGACTTTCGATATTAGATTCTATTTCTAGCTGTGTTCCTATGTTGTTTTGTTTTGTTTAACTTAGTGGACTTTTGTTTTTCCAGCTTTAATCATTTGAATTCTCTGAGGACTTTGTTTCATCCTGCTTCTGGTCACCTTGTGTAGGTGCCAATCTGATTCCGGTCCCCGAGATCCTGCTTACAGCTTTGGGATTTATATCCCAGCTGTACTTAGCCTGAGAAAAGTGTGGCATCCTTGGCACTTCCCAACTATACAAAAAATAATGATTATGACACATAATCACCTCAAATATTAAAATTGTGAAGTTGTTTCATTCTTCAACTTCTGAGTTATTTTTTAATCAGATATTATAGATTCCCATCTTCTAGGACTTTGAATAGATTGCATGAGTCAATTTTGTTATTTCCTTCCAAGGTGGAAATTTCAAAACACATTGGAAATATCCCTCTTCCTTACCTTATTTCACTACACAGTTATTATAATGATTAATTATATTTTAAACTTGTGATAAAACTTTTAAAACTGTTTTTTTTTAAAGATTTTATTTGAGAGATAGTGAGAGCACAGGTGGGGGGAGGAGCAGAGGGAGAGGGAAAAGCAGACTCCCCACTGAGCAGGGAGCCCGATGCGGGGCTCGATCCCAGGACCCTGAGCCAAAGGCAGACGCTTAACCAACTAAGCCACCCAGGTGCCCAAAACTCTTAAAACTCTTAAAAAATTTTATGCACTCCTAATATCCATTAGTTTGTTATGCCAGTGTTTGAGCACCAATGTTTTGAAATTTATATTTTGATAGTCTTTCATCCATGTAAAGCATTTTCCCATCTTATAGATAGAAAAAGCAGTCAGATAGTTTGCCTTTATGTGGGCAACTCACATATTCGACTTTTTTCTCTCTACAGTTCAAGGCTTTTCTTCAGAAAGAGATTTTGAAGAGTATGTTAAGCAAGAGAATAACTCTAAAAAAGTGTTGGTTGCTATTATTTTTGACCATGAGTTCCAAAATAGCAATGATCCCCTGCCATTTAAGGTAATAGATTTTTAATGTAGAAACCTCATAAGTATACTTCCAGTTTCTGAGGCTTAATGAAGTAGAGGCATAATTATTTCATTTATTAAGTGGGGAGACTGCAACCTACCCAAAATCATACTGCTTGTACATAGTAGAGCAAAGATTTAAATCCAAATCTAATTTCTGTGTCTGTGCCTTTATTTAGCCAGAGCTTTATGTTGATGGGGGAAGAATCGAGTTTACCACATACTAGGTTTTCTCCTTATAAATCAGAATCATAGGAGATGTCGACCTTGACCACTGTATCAGATTATGGCAGCTGCCTCCAGTTCTGTGCATGATGGTGAAGTAAATGCACATTTCCCAGGTCAAGACCTGAGATGTTAAAGCATGTTAAAATACAACATGAACATGTTCCTCTTTCTTTTGACTGAATCTCATCATTTTTCTCCAAAATCTAAATCTGGAAAACAGTGTTAAGCCTTAGCCAAGCAGAAACAGAATTAGGACATAGGCAGACTCTGAGAAAGATTCTGATAACAACTTTGAAGAAGGAGAGACGAGGACTATGCTTTGAACTTGATGTCCCTGGTATTGAGGGAAATAACCAAAGTATGGTACAGATGTATGCATGGAGCTATAATTCTACATTTAAGATACAGATGGCTGTCAATGGAATGAAAAAGTAAGGAAAACCACTGGGTTGTAAGTAGAGTTGTAGGTATCTTCTGTTCTGTCCATCATTCCCTCATTCCTTTCATGTGTATAAAATTCCCTCAAGTTGCTGATTCCGTGTACGTGATGCTGATGTGGACTCATCAGTGGAAACACAGAGCATGGTCAGAATGTTTTTGGTACAGTTTCAAACTTCACCTTGTATGGTCTCCCGACTGCCCAGGCCACTTGGCTCACTCTTACCCTTAGCATTGCTACTGTGACTCACAGTACAGTGACTTTCCTAACCACACCCATCCCTTTCCTCCCTCATTCTCCCATAAATGCCCTGTACATATTACTATCACTGAATTTACTATAATGTAAATATATATGTTGTCTCAACTAGAATTTGAGCTCCTTGAGGAAGAGGTGCTATGTCTTAATCCTTGAACATGCAATAAGTGTCTAAAGCTTTTGTCTTGATAACTGAGTATATTAATATTTACCTAGGTTTATGATATGTGTCTGCCCCATCTGGTGTTACTCATTTCTCTGGTCTGACCCCTGACTTTAGGCAACTGCTGGACCATTTCCCATCTTGTAAAGCTACTTAGACCCAGCATGATCTACCTTGAAATTTTTACTTAGTTCTTTAGAATTAGAATTATCTTTTCATTTAATAATGAAATTACGCAGTATTCCACATTTATACTTTCACATTTCTCCTCTGTCTTCATGTGGGATTCTTAAGTTATAATCACTTTTAGAGGAGGAAGAGATTTTCCTCTTGGAACACTTGGCTGACATAATGGGAAGAGAAATTAGCAACACCTTTTGGTATGTTTCATTTCAGTATGCATGCCAGGTGTCTATTTTGGGAAAGAGACATTGGCAATTGTGTGCAAGTTGCCACTGTTTGCTTACCACAAACCCACAGTAGCCACACAACAAGTCTGCTCCATTGGCTGATGTTTAGAATCTACTTAGTGCTTGACACTCTGCCTCAGAATCGCACGTGTGCAGTTTTTCTTTAACTTCCTTTTGTTTCTCATTCTTAATTATTTTTTTCATTTACAGATATTGTTTCTTTTTGCTCCTTATAAGTAAAATATTTTCTGCGTTTCAGTAGTTTTCAGAGGAACAAGTATGTGGGTTTTCTCCGAACTGAAGGCTGGGAAACAGGTGTTCTCTTTCCACCTTTTCCTTCTTTGGGACCCAGAAGTGAACGCAACTCAAATGGGGGGCCTCCTGGTGAGCAGATCTTTAGTCATACTTATTGTAATATCAAGTCATACGGTAAGAGCTATCACATGTTTATACCTACATTTCTTCAATCTTATGATAGAAATTGTTAATTTTTAACTTGTTGTACTGCTGGTGATTTCTTTAAAATTTTCAGTGTCCAAAAACTTGTGTAAAATTTCTGTACGTTGGAACGATGTATTTTTATCCAGGTTCAGCTCAACTCAACTAAACTCTTGGAATTTAAATGGTCAGCTCCTCGCTTTAGCTGTATGACAAAGGAAGGAGCTAACGTCTTTAAGAAAACAGAACAAACAATTATATACTTTAGTGTCCACTGTTCCTTTCACCACAATTTCTGGCATAAGATCCAAAATTATAGGATATGCAAACAAGCAGGAAAATGTTACCTAAAATTAAAAGAAAAAAACCGGTCAATATAAGTGGACAGATAAGCTATATACTGGAGTTGGCAGACAAGGAATTTAAAATAATTTTGAGTATTTTGATGTCATGTTGATAGCAAATATTCTCTGATATAATGTGATGGAGAGGGCATTTTACCTCTGTAAAACTTGTAACTCTATTAGTGAAAAAACATCATGCAAATCCAAACTACAGAACCATGTATTCCAAAATACATGCCCAGTATTCTCGAAAACTCTCAAGGTCGTGAAAAACAAGAAAGGATAATAAAGTTTCATAGATCAGAGGAGACTATGGAGACATGACAACTAAATGCAATGTAGTATCCTAGGTGGGAACAGAAAAAAAAAATGATACTGGGGAAAAACTGGTGAAATCCAAACAAGTTTGTATAAATTAGAAATTGTTTTGTGCCAATATTAATTTCTTAGTTTTGACAAATGTACCATGGTAATGTAAGATGTCATATTCGGGAAGCTGGGTGCAGGGTATAAGTAATATTTCTCAATTTTTTTTCATTATTGCCCTTCTAGGGAATCCTTTTGGACATATTTTCCCTAAGTGTGTTCCCCTTGTGAAATTTTAATACCACAGATATACTACAGATCTGTTTTATGTGCTATGGCTTGAAGCTCTATAACTCTGTTGAGAATGCATGGTATTTAGGAATGCATGGTATGTAGTCTTTCTGTAAGACTATATTTTTTTCCAAAATAAAAAAGTATATTTTAAAAAGCTCTCCAAGCCAAAGTAGAAATAAAAGTGAAAAAAATGGGGCACCTGGGTGGCTCAGTTGGTTAAGAAACTGCCTTCGGCTCAGGTCATGATCCTGGAGTCTCGGGATCGAGTCCCGCATCAGGCTTCCTGCTCAGCGGGGAGTCTGCTTCTCCCTCTGACCCTCTTCCCTCTCATGCTATCTCTCATTCTCTCTCTCTCAAATAAAAAAAAAAAGTGAAAAAAATGAAATTTCTGAATCTGATAAAGTACATGTGTAAGAAATTTGTATCATCCTAGTGAAATATTGAACATTTCTCCTCTAATAATCAGGAACGAAGCAAAGATGTTTGCTCTCATCAGTTCTTTTCAGCAGTTTACTGGAAGTCCTAGCTTGTATCAGAAAAAGGCAATGAAATAAAAGGTATAGATTTTGGAAAGGAAGGAGTAAAATTATCTTTATGTGAAGTTGACAGAATCATGTAGGTGATTGTGAAGAGATCCACAAGAAAGTACTATATATAATGTATTAATTGAGCAAATACCCAAGATAGACAGTATATGATAATAAATTATAAATCTACACCAAAGACAATAAAACATTCCTGAGAGAAAACTTTAAACAAATGATGAGATATCTAAATTTCATTGCTTGGGTGACTCAAAATTGTTAGGATGTAGCTTCTCCCTAAGTTGATCTATAATAGCAATATAGTGACAGTCAGAATCCTAGCAGTCTTTTTGGAAAAAAAATACCAAGCTTATTCTAAAAAATATATGGAAATACAAAGGGTCTAGATTAGTTTTTTAAAAAATCTTGAAAAGGAATGTCAATGTTAAAGAACATTCAAGACTTATTATAAATCTATATAATTAAGACATTGCCATATAGGTGTAAGGATGAACAAATACATATAAAAAGAATGAGGTGTCTGGAAATAGACTCATATACATACAGTCATTTAATTTTTCCATGAAGGCACCAGTATAATTCACTGGGAAAAGGAAATCTTTTGAACAAATTGTGATGGAATAACATGGTATGTGGATGGAAAGAATGAATCTTGATCACTAATCCATATCTACATATAATTAGTTAAATAACATGATGATCATAAACCTAAATGTAAAAACTAAAATCATAAAGCTTCCACAACAAAATTTATGAGAATATCTTCATGAATTTGGGGCCAGCAGTGATTCATTAAGACAAAAAAGGTATTATTATAAAAGAAAAAAATTGACAGATTGAACGTCATTAAAATTGATTATTCCAGCCTGTGTGAAAGACCCTATTAAAACAGTAAGGTGAGATCCAGAAGGGAGAAAATGTGACACAGATTCACATTGAAAATCTATAAAGAACTTGTATAGATGAACAGAAAATTCAGTTTTTAGATATCATGGTATTGCCAAATTTTAATAAAAGTTTTTAAGTGTTTGCTCATTTTTATACTAAACTTATATAACAGTAAGAAGCTATTTGCATATTGCCAAGATCCAAGGACCACACACTGAGTAGCTCTGCTTTAGTGGACATCAGTTCATATAACTCACTCAATATGAACTTCCCTTAATTTCTCAAATATCAAGGGTACTGAATTAAAATCTTGACCTATGCAGTAGTTTATTCAGTTCTCATTCAGTTGATTGAAATTGCAGAAAGCAGCTCTGTAATTTTGCACAATATTTTACTTTCTGGGAAGCTGGGAATTAGGATCCTTTTAAAAAGAATCTAAAAAAGCCCACAAATGAATAAACAAAAGGCAGAATCAGATCTACAAATACAGAGAACAAACTGATGATTGCCAGAGAGGAGGGAGGGGTGGGCAAAATGGGTGAAGGGGAATGGGAGATACAGGCTTCCAGTTAAGGAATAAATAAGTCACGGGAATAAAAGGCACAGCAAAGGAATATAGCTGATGATACTGTAATAGCACTGTATGCTGACAGATAGTGGCTACACTCGTGGTGAGCACAGCATAATGTATAAATCACGACATTGTACACCTGAAACTAATGTAACCTGGTGCATCAACCATACTCAAGTAAATAAAAATTTAAATAATAAAAAAGTATTTATTATGTATTTGCGTGGGGAAACCATAATAGCTGTGAAATTTAGACTATAACAAGAGCCTCTTTACAATAATTAACTTTGTTGTTTTTGACATACCTTTAATTACCTTTTCCTTTGTTCATTTCAGCTATTTCTTGTCTGTTGTACTTAGCAATCCTTGTTTTCTCATTTAGGGTACATCACTGAAGGGTTCCTGGTTATACAGCATGCCTTGGATCAGGCCATCATGAAATATTTTAACCACACAGCTACACAAAAGCTATTTCAAGATGTCACTGTCTTTGTTCAGAGATTTCCATATCCAGAATATTCTCGTGATTACTTCTTCACCTTTTTTGGTATTTTCATTCCTTTAGTAATCTTATTTATCTTCTCTATGAACCATCTTACCCTCATTCAGTCTATTATGTGGGAAAAGGAAAAGCGATGGAAGGTAACTCTACTTTTCTTGAGGTAAATAGAGCTTCTATAGAAAAATTTGTGTCTGTAGCATAAATTTCTGTGGAGGCTGGATTATTTCTACCCACTCAGCACTGGTAGATGGTCATGTTTCAGTAGCAACCAGAAAATGAACGCTTATTTCTCTTGGCAATTTTCTAGAATTTTGTTTTTATTGGAATCCTTTAATTTTATTTCTAGAAGACTACTTCACAAGATCATTACAAATAGAATTTAAATGCCAAATGCTCTAAAATCTCTCTGGAATAGGTGGGTTGCAAAGAATTAATCACCTGGGCTTGTGGAACTGTCTTGATGAATTTAAATACAAGTAAATTTCAAGATTCTATGATTCTATAATTAGTTTTTCTGAGTATTTTTTTCTCAATGACCACTTATAGTCCCCTTCAGAATTTCTATGTTTCAGTAGAGACCATGTTGTGTTATGGCCAGAGGCTTTGCAGTTCAAAAATAACCAATTTAACCAATTATTAATTTATAATTCATATATAATTATTAATATATAATTATAATTAATATGTAATTATGTATTTAACATATTATATATTATATAATATACAATAATATTATAACATATCCTATAAAGAGAGAGGAAGAGATGATTTATATAATTATATATATAATTGATTTATTACCTAATTTGTTTCTGATAAATCATAGATTTGAATCCTATCTCTATTATTTATTGACTCTGACATAGTCATATAACTTTTCTAGCCTTTTTTCTCAGATATAAATTGAGTATAATAATAATAACTAACTTGGAAGGCTGTCATGATATTAAGCTAGATATTATGTGAAAAATTATCACTGTCAAATCACCTGGACCTGCTGTTGTGAGGTGTAAAGGAGGAAACAGGTGGTGAGTGTTTGGTACATTGTCAGGCACCTAGTGGGTGCTCCATAGCTGTTAGATGTGGCTGTTAACATCAGCTGTCTCTCCATTTCATTTATGCTTGTGTAATCTTGAATCCTGTCATTTTTCTCTCTTTCCTTAGTGGCCACACCACTTCACACATCAGCCTCACGTTGTTTCTCACCACCCACCTCTTCTCACTCAGGGCACTTCGCACATATCTCCTCACCCCTCAGCTCTCCTCTGAATCTACCTTGCACATTGTTGCCAGGGTAATTGTCCTGTAACACAGATGGCTAGAAATAAATTTTAAGGTTGTATTTGTCTTTGTTCTCTGCTGAATAAATTCCACTTAAGCATTTTCTAATATTTGGCCCCTACCTACTCCTCATTTTGTTATCGTTGTTGTTTAGGGGTATAATTTAAATGCCAAATGCCCTCCAACATCTCTGGAATAAGGAGAGCTACAAAGAAATAATCTACTGGATTTGTGGAGTTGTGTCTAGATGAATTTAGATACAAATCAATTCCAAGATTCTACGATTCTGTGATTTAAGAAGGAATTTTTATGGAAGTATTGTTGACACACAGTATTACATCAGTTTCAGCTGTACAGCATAGTGATTGGACGAGTTCGCCCATTATGCTCTGCTCAGCACAGGGGGAACTACAGTCTGTCAATATGCAACGCTATTACAATACCTCTGACTATATTCCTTATGCTGTACCACTCATCCCCATTACTTAGTCATTCCATAACTGGAAGACTGTACCTCCCACTCCCCTGCACCCTTTTGCCCATTCCCCCACTCCCTTCTCTGGCAACTATCAGTGTGTTCTCTGTATTTATAGATATGTCTTTGTTTTTGTTCATTTGTTTGTTGTCCATCTATAGATGAATGAATAAAGAAGATGTTGTATATAGATACAATGGAATATTACTCAGCCATAAAAAATGAGATCTCACCATTTGCAACAGCATGGATGGACCTAGAGGGATTATGCTAAGTGAAATAAGTCAGAGAAAAGACAAATACCATATGATTTCACTTATATGTAGAATCTAAAAAAAAAGAAAAGAAAAAAACATATTGTAATTTTTTAACCAATTTCTGATTGCTGAAAAAAAAGTTTTAAATGACCTCCTGTAGTCCCCTCCAGAATTGTGTTTCACTGAGAGCGAAAAAAATATAGATACCTTTCCTGCCAGCCAAAACGAATGACTTTTTTTGAAACTTCCTTTATGTTTATGTTTCCTCTGACTGTAATGCTTTCCTCTTTTCTGATTGGCGAACACACAGTTAACTTACTTGTCTCAGGTTTTGTAGCTGCCATCTCCTTGTTGATTATCTCTCTTTAATTCTCAATTATAATTTAACACTTTTTTTGAGTCCCCAGAACGTGATACACAAACATCAACATTATGACTTATATTTATATTTCATTTATTTTTTTACATTTTTTCTTATTAAGCTCAATTAGCCAACATACAGTACATCATTAGTTTTTGATGTAATGTTCAGTGATTCATTAGTTGTGTATAACAACCAGTGCTCATCAGATCACGTGCCCTCCTTAATGCCCATCACCCAGTTATCCCATCCCCCACCCTCCCTTCTGCAACCATCAATTTGTTTCCCGGAGTCCAGAGTCTCTCATGGTATGTTTCCCTCTCTGATTACTTCCCATTCAGTTTCCCCTCCCTTCCCCTATGGTCCTCTGCACTATTCCTTATATTCCACATGTTAGTGAAACCATATGATAATTGTCTTTCTCTGCTTGACATATTTCACTTAGCACAATCCCCTCCAGTTCCATCCATGTCGATGCAAATGGTAGATATTCATCCTTTCTGATGGCTGATGTCTATTGTATATATGAACCACATCTTCTTTATCCATCCATTTGTTGAAGGGCATCTCGGCTCCTCCCACAGTTTGGCTATTGCAGACATTGCTGCTATGAGCATTGGGGTGCATGTGCCCCTTCTTTTCATTACATCTGATATCTTTGGGGTAAATACCCAGTAGTGCAATTGCTGGGTCATAGGGTAGCTCTACTTTTAACGTCTTGAAGAACCTCCATACTGTTTTCCAAAGTGGCTGTACCAACTTGCATTCCCACCAACAGTGTAAGAGGGTTCCCCTTTCTCCACAACCTCTCCAACACTTGTTTCCTGCCTTGTTAATTTTTGCCATTCTAACTGGTGTAAGGTGGTATCTTATTGTGGTTTTGATTTGCACTTCCCTGACAGCAAGTAATGTGGAGCATTTTTCATGTGTCTGTTAGCCATTTGGATGTCTTCTTTGGAGAAGTGTCTGTTCATGTCTTCTGCCCATTTTTTGACTGGGTTATTTGTTTTTTAGGTGTTGAGTTTGAGAAGTTCTTTATAGATCTTGGATATCAGCCCTTTATCTGTTATGTCATTTGCAAATATCTTCTCCCATTCTGTAGGTTGCCTTTTAGTTTTATTGACTGTTTCCTTTGCTGTGCAGAACCTTTTTCTCTTGATGAAGTGCCAAAAGTTCATTTTTTTCTTTTGGTTCCCTTGCCTTTAGAGATGTGTCTTGGAAGAAGTTGCTGTGGCCAAGGTCCAGGAGGTTGCTGCCTATGTTCTCTAGGATTTTGATGGATTCCTGTCTCACACTGAGGTCTTTCATCCATTTTGAGTTTATCTTTGTGTATGGTGTAAGAGAATTGTCCAATTTCATTCTTCTGGACTTGGCCGTCCAGTTTTCCCAGCACCATTTATTGAAGAGACTGTCTTTTTTCTATTGGATGTTCTTTCCTGCTTTGTCAAAGATTCGTTGACCATAGAGTTGAGGGTCCATTTCTGGGCTCTCTATTCTGTTCCATTGCTCCATGTCTGTTTTTGTGCCAGAACCGTACTGTCTTGATGATTAGAGCTTTGTAATTGAGCTTGAAGTCCAGAATTGTGATGCCTCCAGCTTTGGTTTTCTTTTTCAACATTCCCCCAGCAATTTGGGGTCTTTTCTGGTTCCATACAAATTTTAGGATTGTTTGTTCCAACTCCTTGAAAAATGTCGATGTTATTTTGATAGGGATTGCATTGAATGTATAGATTGCTCTGGGCAGCATAGACATTTTAACAATATCTATTCAGCAACATGGCAGCAACATGGCAGCAATTAATGCACAGAAATCAGTTGCATTTCTATACACTAACAATGTGTCTGAAGAAAGAGAAATTAAGGAATCAATCCCATTTACAACTGTACCAAAAACTGTAAGATACCTAGGGATAAACCTAACCAAGGAGGTAAAGAATCTGTACTCTAGAAACTACAGAACACATATATTTCTTTTTTTAATTTTATTTTATTATGTTAGTCACCATACAATACATCATTAGTTTTTGATGTAGTGTTCCACGATTCACTGTTTGCGTATAACACCCAGTGCTCCATGCAGTACGTGCCCTCCTTAATACCCCATCATCAGGCTAACCCATTCCCCCACCCCCTCCCCTTTAAAATCCTCAGTTTGTTTCTCAGAGTCTCTCATGGTTTGTCTCTTCCTCCGATTTCCCCCTCTTATATTTCATTTTTAAATTACTTTCATTGAAGTATAACATACATACACACAGAAAAGTGCACAAGTCCGAAGTGTATATGTTTTAATCCATCCAGGCTACTGTAACAAAAATATCATAAACTATATAGCTTATAAAGCAAGAGAAATTTATTTCTCTCAGTTCTGCAACCTGGGAAGTCCAAGAGCAAGGTGCCAGCAGATTCAGAATGTCTGATGAGAATGCCCTCTGTGGTTCATAGATGGCACCTCATTCATCACTGTCTCCTCATATGACAGAAGAAATGTGAGCTCTCTGGGGTGTCCTTTATAAGGGTACTAATCTGATTCATGAGTGCTTAGCCCTCATCACCTACTTATCTCTCAGGGGCCCCACCTCAAACTGCCGTCACACTGGGGACAAGGTTTTCTACTTAGGAATTTTGAGGAGACACTAACTTTCAAATTACTGTAGTAGAGTTGAATGGGTTATCATGAAGAAAGTATGCCCATTTTATTGTGACCCCTGTAAGAAATAAAACACTGCCAACACTCTAGAAGATGGCTTGTGTACCCCTCAAAACATTTTCCCCAAAGTATACACTAACCTGACTTCTAGTATTATGAGCTAGTTTTGTCTGCCTTGAACTTGGTAAATGGAATCATGCACTGTATTATGTTGTGTCTGTGTGGTTCTTTCAGCTAAATATGTAGCTGTTGTTCATTTATATTCATTGAGTTATATGAGTTTTATGATTCCATAGTATGACTATCACAATTTATCTATTTTCCTTTAGTGTTTGGAGTTTGGGTATTATAAGTAATTCTTCTATGAATATTTTATACAATTTTTGCTGAATGTTAGATTATACATATTTAACTTTATTATATAGTGCCAAAGTTTGCCAATAAAATTTTACCAATTTTCACTTCCATTAGCAATGTATGAAAATTCTGTTTGCTCTACATTTCACCAAAATTTTTTCTAATTTTATCTAATTTTCTAATTTTTTTTAATTGCATGGGAGCATATTGGCCTCAAAAATGTAGCGATCTTTCACTTTTCATTGTTTTAATTGTACAAATCTTTCACCTCCTTGGTTAAGTTTACTCCTAAGTATTTTACTCTTTTTTTAAAAGATTTTATTTGAGAGAGAGAGAGAGAACATGAGCAGGGTGAGGGCAGAGGGAGAGGCAGACTCCCTGCTGAGCAGGGAGCCCCATGCAGGACTCGATCCTGGGGACTTGATCCTGGGACTCCTGGATCATGACCTGAGCCGAAGGCAGACGCTTAACTGACTGACCCACCCAGGCACCCCATATTTTACTCGTTTTGATGCTCTTGTAAGTGGAATTGTTTTCCTAATTTCCATTTTAGATTGTTCATTGGTAGTGTGTAGAAATTCAACTGATTTTTGTGTGTTGACTTTGTATTCTCCTACTTTAATGAGTCATTTATTCTTTTTTATGTGTGGAATCTGGTTTGCATGTAAGATTGTCTCATCTGCTTGGATGCCTTATATATATATAATTTTTTCTAAATTGTCCTTTTCCCATTGTGTATTTTTTACTTTTTTGGCATAAATTAATTGGCCATGTATGTGTGAGTTTATCTCTGTGCTCTCTCTTCTGTTGCATTGCTCTGTTGTCTGTTTTAATGACAGTACTGTACTTTTTTGATTACTATAGATTTGTAATATAGTTTGAAATCAGGAAGTAGAATGCTTCCAGCTTTTTTCTTCTTTCTGAAGATTGCTTTGCCTGTTTGGGGTCTTTTGTGGTTCCTTATAAATTTTGGGATTGTTCTATTTCTGTGAAAAATGACATTGGAATTTTGATGAGGATTGCATTGAATCTGTGTATTGCTTTGGGTAGTATGGACATTTTACCAATATTAATTTTTCCAGTCCACAAGCATGGTATATCTGTTTATTTGTTTGTGTTGTTTTCAGTTTCTTTCTTCAATATCTTAGAATTTTCAGTGTACAGGTCTTTCAGTTCCTTGGTTAAATTTCTTCCCATGTATCTTATTCTTTTTGATGCATTTGTAAATGGATTTTTTTTTATTTCTCTTTCTAATAGTTCTTTATTACTGAATAGGAATGCAACAGATTTTCGTATTTTGGTTTTGTATCCTCCAGCTTTACTGACATTGTTGATTAGTTCTAAGAGCTTTTTTGGTGGAATTGTTAGTGTGTCCTATGTATAATATCATGTCATATGCAAGTAATTCTGATTTGCATCCATTCTTCTTTCTTGACCAATTGCTATGGCTAGAACTTCCAATAGTGTGTTGAATTAATGGGTTATTAATGGGGTGTCTTTCCTACAGTTAGGTTTCCTTTAATTTCTTTCAACAGTGTTTTAGTTTTCAGTGTAGAAATCTTACACTTCTTTTTTTTTTAACATTTATGTATTTATTTTAGAGCAGTGGGAGGGGCAGGGGGAGATAGAGAATCCTGAAACAGACTCCCCACTGAGCAGGGAGCTGGATGAGGGGCACAATCCCCAAGGGCCCCAAGATCATGACCTAAGCTGAAACCAAGAGTTGGCCGCCCAACAGACTGAGCCACTCAGGCCCCCAGAAATCTTACACTTCTTTTGTTAAAAGTACTTTGTCATTTTTGTTGGTTATTAAAACTTGCTAAGAAAGTCTGGTTGTACCACTGATTGCTAGGAACCATTTATCCCTATTTCTGTCCCCTGCGCATAATAAAGTGGACCTGTGCCCATTTTTAAGAACTTTGGAAAGTATGCAAATTCCAAAATCCTCACATTCATTCATTTGGCCTTTCAACAAACATTTATTAAACTCTTTGTATGGGCCAGGCAGATACAGATAGGCAAACATGGTCTCTGCCCTCTACCCTAGAAGAGCTTAAAGTTACAGAATTTAATATTGGTCCATCAGTAAAATTCAATAGAAATATTTAAAATAGCCTGTGAAGACTCATACCACTCATTTGAATCTTATTGGTTTTCTACATTATATGCTTAGCTAAACTTTTTTGATGTTCTTTTGTTAACACTCGAAATAAAATATTTCTTTAATGAATATATTTCATAAAGATTATTTCTAAAACTGAATTTTCCCCCTTATTTTTTATCATAGTTTTAGTATTTGCTTCTATCTTTTGTAATTTAATTAAAATATATTTACATTCTTTAACACCTCCTAGAAAAGGGCATAGTAAAAAGAAAGGGGATATTAATCTAAGCAGTTTATAGTTTTATTTAAGGGTTTTTCATACCTTACAATATCAGGTAAATTATTGGTGAGATCATCTCTAGGCTGATAAGCATCATAGTACTGCCACACACTAGCTGAATAATTTTAATCAAATCATTGATCTCCTCTTCTATAAATCGGGCATGATAATTCTTATTTCACCAATTTTGATTGTGGTAGAAATAAATTAGATAATCTTTGTGAATGCATTTTATATAATTATATTATTTTACATGATGTTTGGTTTGTGTTAACTCTCCCACAGGAGTATCTGCTCATGATAGGACTCAGTAATTGGATGTTCTGGGGTGCCTATTTCTTCCCATTCCTCTCTTTGTATTCAGTTATCATCCTTTTGATGTGCATGATTTTCTTTGCCAAGGCAAGTGTCTATTTCACTGTAGTATGCTATAGCTAACCTTTGAGAGGAAAAACATATAACATGGTATGGGCCTAATGGATTCAAGTTGTCAGGAAGTGAACACGTGCCTATTGTTGACTCCAATCTGGAAATGCAGGGGCTGCTTAGTCTCTCAGCAAACTAAACTTTAAGTTTAGATGTGTGGACCTTTTGTAGTTAATGAATTGTTTACTCATCTCCCTGAGGTTTGTCATTAGTTTCACTAAGACTATTAAAATATTTAAAGATGTTTCACTTCTCCTCTATTGTTTTGATGCCATTTAGAGTATAGCTCAACTGGCTTCCTGATTATTTTATTAGATAGAACCTGTGCCAGTCATCCAGTACAGTGACCCATCTCTTGTCTTTGTCTTTTTGCTGTGTTTTACCATCGCCACAATATTCCTCAGCTTTATGGTTAGCACGTTCTTCGATAAAGGTGAGTCTAAAACTCCTGGGAAAGATAATTAGTGACTCAATGGGGATTATATTCGGAGGCTTCTGTGACCTTCATTTGCCATCTCATCTGTAGCCTCTCTTTATAGTCTAACTAAAAAGACGAGTATTGTAAGTACATGAAATGATAAGAAAGGGAATGAAGGGAGCAGTGAAAATTAATAGATAGTATACACGTGAAAAAAGGACAAAAACGAAAATAAGGTCATATTTGAGGATTCTTTTTAACCTTTACCTGCTTATGCATATGGTATCTATTTAACCATCCAGCAGGAATGGTAATGATTGAGATGGCTTCTGTATATTCTAGTGGAGGGAATAAAGTCTGTCAGTATCTGATGATGATCTGCAGTATGTGAAGAGAAAGAAAACAACAAAATTGTTTGCCTGAAAGAAAGGGTCCATGTACTTCGTTAATAGATCTTTATTGTGTGTTTGCTGTGTATTTGAAATACAGTGTCTATCCCATAGAGCTGACATTGACCTTGTGGACATGCATATCATATGCACAAAAAAATTATTTGATAGGACATGCAGAGAGCAATGAAAATTTATGAATCAGTATACATAGGAAAAAAGGATTAAAATAATCCCACTTCATATTGAGATAAACCTATGAATGCTTCTTATAGAGGTTAGTTTTTAAACATTTTTGAAAGACTAGAAGATTGGAATGGGAAGTCAAGTCAATGGATGCAAGTATCTAAAAGTCATTCATTGAGCTGGCCCGGTATATAATAAAACAAAGGCAAGCAAAAATTGTTTCCTTGCTTTTTGAGGGCTAACATGCCAATAGCAGTCATGACCAGTAACTCTATTTCATTATATTTTTATTTTTCTCAGTACATTATCATGAGTATTGTTAGTTATGGGTCCTTACAAGGCACATGATCACATGTACAACCTATAAGCAGCCAAAACAAACAAACAAATAAAACCAACCAACCCAGGAGGTAAAGAGAAGTGGTGTGTCAGTGTAAGGCAGAATGTGATAATATACCAAAGAGAAAAATGAGATAGTTAGAAAACAGATACTGTCATTTCCTGTTTCTGGAATTATGGCAGACTGGATATTTAGAACATTTTTGTACGTGTCTTTAGTTTATATGTGTTAGACTTTCACTATGGTACATATGTAGAAAAGGAATTGCTGGGTCATAGGGTTTGTAAATGTCCAACCTGACTACCTGTGTCCAGCACTTCCAGAGTGGTTCTGTGCACTTACAGCCCTACTGGACGAAGATGAGAATTCCTATTATTCCATATCCCTGCCAAAATTTACTACATCAAACTCTAATTTGTGCCATACTGGAGATATGAAATCCTGTCTTATGGCAGTTCAGACCTGCATTTTCTCATTTACTGATGAAGCTGAGTGTTATTAATATTAATATGGGTCATGTGTTTCCTTTTCTGTAAAATCTGTGCATTCTTATCTATTATGATTATTGATTGTCAGGACTTATTTATATATTCCTGCTGCCTAATTTTTGTTAGTTGCAAATGTGTTGCAAAACTTGTCCCAGTTTGGAGCTCTCGGCTTTTATTTATGCTGTCTTTTAATAGTTACTAATTTTAATGTAATCAATCTTTTCCTTCATAGTTTGTGATATTAAATATTTCAGTGAAAAAAATTCTCTACTCCAAAGTCATAAAATTATCTTGTAGCGAATTGATTGTTCTTCCAAGTGCATAGACAGTTGTCCTAGCAACATGTGATAAACAGTTCACCTTTTCCTCACTACTCTGCAATACCTGCTCTGCTATATGTCAAGTTCCCATTCATGTGTGCATTTCTTTGCAGGCAGTCCTTTCACTGAAAGAGAAATTAGGAAAATAACCCCGTTTACACTTGCACCAGAAATAATAAAATGCCTAGGAATAAATTTAACCACAGAGGTGAAGGACCTACATTCTGAAAACTATAAAACATTGATGAAGGAAATTAAAGAGGAGACACCATAGTACATACCCTCCCCAATGTCTATCACCCAGCCACCCCATCCCTCCCACCCCCACCACTCCAGCAACCCTCAGTTTGTTTCCCGAGATTAAGATTTCCTCATATCAGTGAGGTCATATGATACATGTCTTTCTCTGATTGGATGTCCTCTTTTTCTGTATCTCTATCTCTCTGGGAATTTCAGTGCAGTATTCTAATTATTTCTTCTTTGAATATCTGCTAGAAGTTGCTGAAAAAGCACTGGGAAGGATTTTAATTATTGATTCAATTTCTTTTATGACCTTAGGACATTCAGGTTTTCTAGTTCTTTCATTTTTGGTAAGTTATATTTTAATTTTGAAATTTATTGGTGCAGTATCATTAATTTAATATGGTTTCTGGTTTTTAATGTCTTTGCTAATGGCTGTCATGATATATACTCTTTTACTCTTTATACCAGTAATTTGTGCCTTCTCTTTTTTTTTCTTGATCAGTTTCACAACAGGTTAGTTAGCAGTATTAGTCTCTACAGAGAATAAGCTTTTGGCTTTGTTGATCCTCTTACCATTCCATAAACTTTGTATTTATTGCCATTTTTTAAAACTTGTGATAGTGTATGTTTGTCTTATTTCTTTTAATAAATAAATTTAAGGCTAGTCATTTCCTTTTTAATACTGGTTTGACTGCATGACACAAATTTTGATAAATAGGCTTTTTCCTGTTGTTACATTAAAATGTTTTATAATTTTCTTCTGTAATTATTCAAAGATGTGTGTCTTAAATTTCTCAACATACTGGGTTTTTATGGATATCTTCTGGTTATTGATTGCCAGTTTAATATAATTCCTTTGAAATTTGTTAGGATTTACTTTATGACCTAGTCAATGTCCAGTTTTTTAAAAATCAGTATTCCAAATATGTTTGAAAAAAATGTATATTTTGGGGTGCCTGGGTGGCTCAGATGGTTAGGCGTCTGCCTTTGGCTCAGGTCATGATCCCAGGGTCCTGGGATCAAGCCCCGTGTCGGGCTTTTCCAAGCTTGGCAGAAAGCCTGCTTCTCCTTCTTCCACTCCCCCTGCTTGTGTTCCTGCTCTTGCTACCTCTCTGTCAAATAAATGAATTAAAAAAATCTTTAAAAAAAAAAAAGAAGGTATATTTTGAGGTTGTTTGGGATAGTTGACATGTATTTTCATTAGGCCAAGTTTTTTAATTCTGAGAAAGATGGTTAAAATTTCCACTTTGATTGTACATTTGTATATTCTTAGAACTTCTATTATTTTTTGCATTATATATTTTGATGCTATTTTATCAGGTGTATCTAATATATTGTCTTTGTTATCTCTTATTTGTCCCCTCTCATTCTCTTTATAATTTTAATTTTGAAAAAGAATACACATTGATGAGTATATAAAATGTAAGTGTTCTAGTTGGTGAATATGGAATGTAGAGTGAGATAAAGAGGGAAAGGGTGAATCATTCCTAATAGTGGAATAATATGTTGTACTTTATAATATACCATTTTTATTTAGATGCTGAATTTTAACTCCTGATGATGTTAATTGGTTTATTAACAGGAATTTTCTTTTTAGTGTTTTATCAGAGTCACATTTTTGGAACTTTTCATATTCCCAACCATATCTGCTTTTGAGACCAACTTTGTATTTCTGTTTATTCAAGTATCCTTCTTTTCCCCCAGTATCATGACATAGACTGAACCTCATAGTATCTGGGAATACAATCTAGATATTTTCTGATTATGTCAATAATAGTATTTACATTTATAATTTTTATGCTGAAAAATAAATATGTGAATTTCCATTAAGAGCTATAATATTTATAGTTACTACACTATAGAATGATAAATTCCAGAAAAAATAGTTACTGAAATGTTTAATTTCAGCCTCTTATTCATTCAAAAAATACTTTTGAGCACCTATAAAGTGTCACGCATTGTATAATGATAAGCAAATGGTGAACAAAACAAATTTCTATTCTCACTGTGCTTATTTTATTACATTCTTCCAGTAACACAGATATTTGTAGTTTAGGTTTCTGCATGTTGCTTAAATTGACCTTATAATTTCCATCTTATTTCCAGCACATTTTGCTGTTTCTGTTGGAGGTTTCATTTATTTTGCTACCTACTTTCCACTTGTTACAGTCTCTACAAACTTTGCACAAATGACATTCTCCCAGAAGCTGGCTTCCTCAGCTTCCTCAGCTCAAATATAGCAATGGGGCTGGGAACTAAATTCCTAGTCAAGGCAGAAATGGAGAGTGAGTATTTACCTTATAAATTTGACCATATTCTCATAAGATATTCACAGTTTTAAAATAGATTAATATTGTTAAACTGTCCTTCAAAAAATGATATTACTTCATACCACCACCTGTCGTACATGAGCGCTGCCACATTCTCTCCATAAATTTACTCAAGTCTGTTAGTAGCTTTCCCTGCTCATTTGGAGTTCCTGGCTGCTGTTTAGTGCTAGGACTGGAAGCAAAACAGGTCTGCTTTTAGTGACTCTTAGTCTTCCTTTTTTCATCAGTGCAATATCTACACAAAAATTCTGCTGGTCTTCTCTTCTATAGATAGTATTTATCCCTGCTTTTCAATGATTATGGTTTTCTATTTTCCAGTGAACATTTAGCATGAGGAGGGGCGGAGAAGGAGGAGTCAGTGTCTTAACCCATAGATTTGCTTATTTTTCTTAAAGTTTATATTCCTGACTTAGTATATTCTGTTTTTGTTTCACTCATGATTGTTTCTGGCATGCTAGAAGGCATCTTATATGATTGCTTGCTCACGAAGTCCTAAATTCTAATGGTATAAGAAAGTGACTATAATGGGAATCTCTATAGAATATTAACACCTTTTTTCTTCACTCTTTAATTATGATGCAGATGGATAATTGTTTTAGTGTCAGTTGGCACCTAAATTAAATGTCAACTGTTATCTCTTAGAAATTGGAATTAAATGGAGTAACATCTGCTCACCACCCAAAATGGAGAACTTTGACTTTGCCCACGTACTGGGAATGTTTTTATTTGATGCTTTCTTATATGGCCTTGTGGCCTGGTATATAGAAGCTGTCTTTTCAGGCGAGTATGGTGTGCCCAAGCCGTGGAACTTTTTCTTGCTGGTGAGTTCTAATGCCTCTGTTACTGAGAGAGGCCACAGTCCTTATGAACATATATTGTAATTTCTCTAAAAGCCACCATGAGCTAATTTTTGCACTGTCTGTAATTGATCCAACAGTTCGGGTGAAAGAATCATTTTAATGACTCTGCCCATTCATTGGCCTTTTCCTAATACATTTTAAAGCACCCAGTATATATAACCATAAATAATCTGTAGATGATGGCCTGTAACTCCAAACTTTAAAAATTCTGAGTATTCCATCACAGTTACAGGCAAGTATTTCATAAACAATTAAACTCGGGCATATTAATATAGTATGGGTCTTTGGGTGGTAAAAGAAGAGGTTTAGTTATGTCCCCTATCTGGGCACTCACCACCTGTTTTATATCCTTGTTTGGCACAGATGTCTTAGAGTCAGAGCCATAGCGTGATGGGAATCATGTATATCTTGCCCTCCTTTCTCAGTCTTTTCCCTTGTTCTTATTGGCTTATGTATTGGTAAGAGAAGATATGACAAGGAGTGATACAGTCATTTTCACTATGACCTCATTTTGGAGCAGTTTTCATTTGTCCCTCTTGGACAGTTATGATTTTAATAGAATAGTCTGCTTTCATGCTTTGGGGATTTGAATTAAGCCACTTAGCTCCAAAATTTAATCCCAAGAAATTTTCAGCAATTTTCAGCAATCCATCTCAGTACAAAAGGTAACAGGCTAAAGTATTTTCTATTGCATCATTTTTCAATACCATTGCAGTGATTTCACTTTTATTCTCCCCTCCCCCCCCCGCCTTTTTAGCGCTCTCACTGGTTTGGGGAAACACCTGAGGGGAAAAAGGAAACAAGGCAATTTTATGAAACAAATGAAAGCAAGTATTTTGAAGCAGAGCCTACTAATTTGGTGGCAGGTATCCAAATCAAACATTTGTGCAAGGTATTGTTTCACAGATTTTTTTTTCTTCTTGATGGAACTGAAATTTAGCTTATAGTGCATTGTAAATGATTATTACTGGAAATACCAAGAAAAAGATCACATGCTAATAAAAAGTCGTGGCCATCCTGTTTACTTCCTTTGAGAAAGATCAAAATTAATAATTTTCAGTATGTAATAAAATGTCACACCTTTCTCCTTCCTCCAGAATACATTCAGGTTTTCTATAAACTATATGGTGTCTTCCACAAATGCCCTCATTTTAAAAAGTAGAGTCTACTGGAGATGAATAATTTGAACGTATGAACATTAATTTCTGTTCGCAAATGTTTTGCATTTATCTGTTATGTAATCTCTTCTCTGTCAAGGAATTCATCAAGGGAGGACTTTTGAATCTCTTAATTCATCTGCACCAACTATAGGCATGTTGTATTCAGGTAACCTATACGTTGCCTGGCATTGCCTCTCAAAGTCTACCTAAGCTTG